AGCTCTCCCGAGTCCTGCTCTCCAGCCCAGCGCTTCCCTGGCGCTCCTCACCGCGGCACCCTGGGCAGGAGGGAGCGCAGATGGGAGCTCCGAGTTAGCAATTTGCTTAAGGTCTCCCTCTGCATTATTTCTTTTCCTTACAGATAATGATGGTGAGATTTGTTTCTTTAATCTGTGTTGTGTGAAAAAAAGATATTTTTCACCCAAGCCAACTCTAGCTGGCCAAAGCCAAGCACTGCAAAGCAAATCTGTGATTTACTGATACCTTGTTTTCTATGTTCTACCTTCTATACTCTTTGAATGCTCAAGCTCTATGCTTTGATCCAAATGTATCCCATGCTAAATATAACAGTTTTGAATGTCCTGTAAAAGTACCATGGAATTCTCAACAAATCAGTGCTAACAAAAACAGCTGAAAGTAGTGATGTTTCTAGGAATATGAATGCACTTTTGCTCAGAAGCTCAAACATCTGTCTCGGATACTTCAGTCTTTTGCTAGCCACTGTTTAAAAGCTCTGGATGAACTCTGCATAGAGGTGCAAGTGTCACCTGCTATGTGAATAGCACCACACAGCATTCCTGACAAATACAAGGTAACACTTCTGAGCACACTTGTATGACTCCTCTCCCATTTCCTTCTAGAGTGATTCGCCCACAGAAAAAATCAGTATCATTGGAGAAGAACTGTCTACGTTAAACGGGAAGGTATGAATTAGCATTTTTAGCTTTTAAGGGAAAATAACAATTCTTACACATCATCCAGGAAGTTCATCTATATTAGGATTTTGATTTTATATATTGACAGACACTTAAATGGCTTGAAATAGAGAATTATTCCCAGTGATTTCAGTGAAAACATAAAGGAATCAGTATTGAATGCTTATAAAAATCTTTGCTCTATGTTTTTATCCCCCAAATACCAAAAATGAACCAAATTAAACTGACTTATGCACCATGTTTTTTAATATTGTTGTTATATATATCATAATACTAAATAGAACATCATATAGGCAATTTTCTCACAATATTTTATGCTTCTATAAATACTTTCAGAAAGACTCTTCAGAAAGCACTAAAATAATGTAAGTAGTTAAGTGACAAACTCCTTTGAAAACGAATTGCAACTTATTTGAAACTAAACTCTCTAGGGCACACTTTTTTCCTAGCTGCATAATTCAGTGAACATTGTCGTTATTTTTTTTTCCTCTTCCTGATTAATTTCCTCTTCCTGATTCCATTCTTTTCCAGAATGTGTTAGTAGTAGAGGTGAGTAAAGATTTTGATTTTTTTCCACTTAGCAAGTTAATGCTTTAGTATTACATAAAACAACAATTGATCATACATCAGCTAAAGTATGTATGTCATGGTTTTGCACTACTGATGCCTCCGATTGCTTTATACACTGTAGGTTACCCCGACAGTCTTTTGGATTTCTAAAACATGTTTTTAATCTCTTTGAGGATGTTATTGAGACTGGCAGAACAATGAAGGCACTGCTTTCAAAACTAAGAGACTACAACCCAAAGACTGTAAAAGTAGTAAGGTATGATGATATGGCCACTAATGTATCATAATGAAGTGATACCAAAATCATTCAGGTGAATAGTAAGAGTATACTTAAATATGTATGTGTAGTTATATATGTATATATGTTAAATATCTGGGGAAGAGAACGTAAAAGCAGCAAACAATATTACCTCTCTTCCTATTCCCCCCCGATCTTTACATGTCACTTGAATTTATCTGCCTACCTGAGCTATATTAGTTTAGTGATATATTACTACATGAAAAAATAATGATTTGGGATGCAGAATTGAAGAGAATTAAGTCAAAGACAACAGAGCCACGTGGAGCTTCAGGATGAACCTAGGTCAGACCCTTAGCTTTACCCCAAACATAAAGGTGTACTTCTTTCTGGTATGTTAAAACAATGAGAAACTATTGCAACTACGTGATTCTAGAAGCTTAAGGGGAGAGACGAGAGCAGTGAAATCTACAGCTTGGAGCAAGTTTATTTTAAAAATCATGACTCTCTCTCCTCTGTCTTACAGCCTGCTCATTAAAAGGACGCATCAAAGCTCAGGTTACAGACCAGACTGTAAGTACTGCATTTTTCTAGTTGTCCAAAACAAGATCTCAGAATTTCATTTCATGCAGTAAGCCTGGACACTCAGCTATGCATGTCAGGAGGCCAAATGAAACGGGGAGAAATATGGAGAAAATATATACAAGCTTGTAAACTGACTAGCAGCTAGCACATATTGAAACCTTACAACCACCTTCTATTTTGTTTGTTCTGAGTGCAGGTAAAGCTGTTTGTATCCAGATAGCTGAACTAGAATCACACTTAGCTTCTGATTGCTTGGCTTTGACCCTAGAGGGCATTTATTTTGACTATGGTTTAAATATAACCTGTTTACAAGGTGTAAATCCCATTTTGATTGACTCCAAATAGGGAAGCAGGCCTGTAGTTCCATTGTCTGAATCAATTTCAGATTCAGAACTAAACAACCGCAGTTATGATATTTACATGGAGCTGGGACCTAGTTTGGATGGCAGCTTCTCAGGGCCCAGCAGATCAGACTTTTGATGTGGGTGCACTGCTCTACAAGCAAAACCTCCCTCTTTGCTGCCCTCTTGCAAGGTTATCTCCTAAGTAAATTTAATTCATGTACTTCTAAGAAACAAAACAATTCTATTAAAAATCATGATCATTTTAATTATATTGTTAACTGATGGGAATGGTGTGGATTTTAATCTATGCCATCAATTTACAGCTCTGACTCGCAGGGGTGCTAAGCGTGCTAAAACCTTGAAAGCAGAGGAAAGCACTACTTTCATATAGCTGAGGAAAACCATTTATACCATTTATACCATTTGTACCATACTCGCTTTATACCATTTATTTATAAGACATTTATACCACTTCAGTAAAAAAAGGATTGGATTTTGTTGCAGATGCGGGTTTTGAAATTCCAGATAAATTTGTGGTTGGATATGCTCTTGACTATAATGAATACTTCAGGGATCTAAATGTAAGTACACACCTGTGTGTGCCCTGTTACATACATACATACATACATACATGACTATTGCAATTAACCAGTAAGAATACTCACTTACTGTAGGGAGCGTCCAGATAACAGAACTTTAAACCAGACTTCTAAAGGAGCAAAAACTTTATTAATGTGCTAGTAATTTAATGTAACAACCTGCACTTGCCTTACCTATGAACACTCCAAGAGCAGCGCGGCTCAGCTTGGCTGCACGGTGTTCCGAGCCCTCCGGGATGGCAGGAGACAGTCTGCTCGCCCCAGCTGCAAAGAAACGGACTTGTAACTTGGCTGTCTCCACATTTGTCCATTTTAGTGAAATCCTATGTTGCTCTTTTCTGGCAAAGGTTTCATAATGCCTCTACACTGGACTATGGGTGAAGGTTTTTCTATGCTCTGTACAACATGCCCATCCCTTTATCCCCTTATGGCCCCTTTAGGCTGAAGTGAATCCTAGACTTGCTCAGAAAGATTCTAAGTGATGGAGAGGGCTGGATTTGTTTTGTTTTTCACTCCAATTCTAAAAAGCATTCCCTTAAATCTGGCTAAGTGAAAAGACTCTCACTTGAAGCTATTTTTAACATGACAAACCTGTTTGTAAAAGACATAAACTTGACCTGTGCTGTTGTAAAGCAATATAAAGCAGGACATGATAAATGAACAAACCTGACCTCCCCCTGACTATATAACTTCTCTATCCATTTTAGATGAGGCTGGAGGAAATATTAACAGCTCAATTTCACTGCAAGTAGTAAAACTGACAAAATAGGGGTCTTTTGGTGCGTGCTATTTCCAATTCCAATAGGAACACTGCTGAAAATCATTCTTGCATTACCTTTGAAGGTAAACATTGGCTAAAATATTGGTTTTTATTTGTTTGTTTTTAGCACATCTGCATTCTGAAAGAGAAAGCCAAAGAAAAATATAAAATCTGATCACATCAATTTTCTGGAGTATGAGTCCAGTGTCGTGTAGAGCTGTGTAGACAAATGATGAGAAGTTATTTCCTACTGAACATATTAATTTCACTGCAGAACCACAACATTCTTTTAAAGACAGTTCTTTGTATATTTTTTCCTATAATAATGAAAATTATGTTTTATAGAATAGTATAAAAAATGCTAATGACTTCTCTTCAAAAAAACAGAACAGACCGCTGGGTATAAAACATGTATTATACTGTATATACATCCCCCTGGAAACACAGGGGACAGAACCACAACACTTACACGCATACTGCTAGATTAGCCTTTTAGTTACTGTATAAAGTAACGCATCATATGTATTACATATATAAACTGCAATCCTTTCTATATGTATGGACGTGTGTGTAAATATATAGGTAGGTAAATATGTACTTTATATAGTAAGTAGGGTGCACAAGTATTTGAAGGGCTCAAGGTTAATTGCATCAACCCCACAGAGTGCTTATCATAGGCACGGCTGATCTTGATAGTCTAGTTTATCTAACACAATGGAAAAAAAAAGTAAACATCAAAGTAAATAAAGACGGATCAGCACTTGTACTCCGTGTAACTTTATTTTGGGGTAGGTGAAGGCTCATACTGATCACACCTTTGTGAGAGATGTTCCTTGAAGCCCTGGTGCCCCTGCTCACTCGTTACGAGCTGTCACCTCTGCCCAGAACCACCCGGCCCGCCTGACACCGCTGTGGGCAGGACAACCCTTGAGCTCGTTGCCCGCCTGGTCCTCGCCAGGCCGGGGAGCCTGCGCCCACTGCCCAGAACCCGCAGCGGCTCCAGGGAAACCTGCTGCCGCCTTCCTGGCAAACCAGGATTTTTCCAGAACCTAAACATGGGGTTGTTTTTCAGCCCTCTGTTGGCTTTGAGCAGGAAAATCAACTTAGACAACGAGTCTGTTTAATAGACAAAATCCTCATCTTTGCTCACTAGGATCAGCAGGGATCCCACAGCCGGATCGGACAGTCAGGATGGGCGCAGGCAGCGCCCCGCAGGCGCTAGGGCTGACGCGCTGCTACCGAGGCAGTGAGACCTGACTGAGGCCAGCCTGCCCACGCCGGGGTGACCGGGGAGGGCAGGAGCTCCGCGGGGCT